AGATTTTACAGGGCATGGGAACAGCCTTCAAATCCCTAATAGTCTGAGATGAAGAAAACATGATTAATTCCTTTTCTTGTTAAGACAACTGGTAATTCATATCATTCACAGAAAGACAGTTATGTAACAGGGAAAAAGCTTCATTGTAGCCTGTTAAGATACAATGCAGGCTATGAATGCAGAACATGAGAACACAGAAATATCAGAGAATAGGTAACACATGGTAAAGGATCTAAATCTATGTGTTTCAGAGTAATAGGATAGGCTAGATGACTTCCTGAGGTCCCCTTCAGTCCCACATTGCAATTTTCCTGGGGCAAATACTTTGAGTAAATACTCTATTTATAAGAATAAAAAAGAGTCTTTATCCAAACAACTGGGTTTTTTTTATAATTTTACTCTATCGGGGGAAGACAGAATTTAAGGGAGAAAAGGCTGAATAACATTCAGAAAGAAACACTGAAAGGAAAAATATGCAGCACTTTAAAGCCTTCAAACTATTATGAATATCATATCTGCCCTACTGAAAAACTTCAGAAATTTTCACCATTGAAACACCTCATCTGTGAAACTGAGTTTACTTAAATTATTCATCTGAAATAATTACTTCTTGTCTTATAAGAACAAGCATTTCAAAAATTTAATTTAACTTACAGGGAATCAGATGAACCATTAATAAATCAGCTACCTGTGGGGCTTGGTTGAAGAACACGTATTGGAAGGAGCACACCTGAGTATGCAAAGTCTTGTAGGAAGGCTCTGATACACCTGACAAAATCCTTTTCAAACTTATAAATTGAAAAATTTAGATTTTTCTAGGTATTATTCTTCAGTCTTCTGCAGCCTTCCACTACTTAAAATAAGCCTTAATTTTATAGAATAGAAGTGGCATGGGTGGGAAGAATGGGGAAAAGTTTAATAGATGCAGTTTCCACCTCTGGCATCCTGTTAAAGTTCTGTATTTTATTACAAGCCCTGTGACAAATTTATTTTGACATGGGCAGCAAACAAAGCATTAGTGGTACACTATGCTGGAAGAACAGGGCACAAGGAGTAGGTCAAGGGAGGTGACTGTTCCCCTCTGCTCCATGGTTGTGCATACATGTTGGAGCAGCAAAGCACAGGAAAGAAGTTGACAAAGATGACTGAGTTCAGCAGAGGATCACTGAGAGGCTGTGGAACCAGGGCTGGAGGCAGGGGGAGCAGCAGCTTTGGGGGCACCAAACAGCATCCCCGGCACCAACAGGAGGAATAGAGGAGATATAGCTGTTCACAGCAGTGCATGGTATTGGGGTGAGGCAGCAGCAAAGCTGAAACAGAGAGAGCTCAGGCTGAAGCTATGAGGACAGCCTGGCAGCCTGGACATGGTACGGTGTGGTTGGGCTGACAACATCCTTGAGGCTTTCTTGGCCCAAAAGGCTGAAGTCCTGAGCAGCCCAGTCTGAGCTCAGAACTGGCTCTGTCAGGGCTCAGGCTGGAGATTTCCCCTGGTTCCCACCAGGCTGAACAGGATCTTGTGAGAAATACTTTTCTTTGCTAAATGCACTAAACAGTATTAGTCCCTTGGACACACTGTCATCTTGTTGCTATGTATCCAATGGCACAAAAGAAGTCAAATCAGAGAATCATGGGATAAACTGAATTGGAAAGGGTCAATCAGGATCACAAAAGTTCCTGACCATCCCAAGATTCACATCATGTGCCTGAGAGTGTTGTGCAAATGTTTTTTGAACGCTGTCAGGCTTGGTGCTCTTGACCACTTCCTTGGGGAGCCTCTTCTAGTGATGAGCTACCCTCTGGGTGAAGAACATTTTCATGATATCCAGCCTAAACCTCCCCTGACACAATTTCAGGCCATTCCCTCAGGTCTTGTCACTGGTTACCACAGAGAAGAGATCCGTGCCTGCCCCTGCTCTTCCCCTCATGAGGATGCTGAAGACCACAATGAGATTTCCTCTCAGGCAGACTGAACAGACCAAGTGACCTCAGCCGCTGCTCACATGGCTTCTCCTCCAGACTGATTTCCTCTCAGGCAGACTGAACAGACCAAGTGACCTCAGCCACTGCTCACATGGCTTCTCCTCCAGACCCCTCATCCTCCTCATCACCCTCCTTTGGGCAGGAGGCATCTTCATTACCCTCTATTATTGTGGCACCCAGAACTGCCCCCAGCACTCAAGGTGAGGCTGCCCCAGTGCAGAGCAGAGCAGGACAATCCCTCCCTTGCCCAGCTGGCCATGCTGGGCCTGATGCCCCCCAGGACACGGCTGACCCTCCTGGCTGCCAGGGCACTGCTGACCATGTTCAGCTTGCCACAGACCAGGACCCTGACGTCCCTTCCTGCAGTGCTGCTCTTCAGCCTCATCCCCTAGTCTATACACACACCCAGAGTTGTCTTATCTCAGGGCCAGAATCTGATATCTTCCCTTGTTAAACTTCATTTGTTTGGTGACCTGCAATTTGCTGAGGTAGCCCTGCAGGGCCTTTCTGCCTCCAAAGGATTCAACAGCTCCTCCCAATTCAATGTCTTCAGCAAACTTAGTGTTTGAGTCCTGCATCCAAATCATTAAGATGCTGAAGAGTACCTAAGCCCTAAGGTGGAGCCCTGTGGAACCCCACTAGTGACAGGTCACCAGCCTGATGCCACCCCATTCACTGGAACCCTTTGTGCAGCCCATCAGCCAGTTGATCACCCATCACATGATGCATTTATTCAGCTGAATGCTGGACATTTTGTACAATTTCAGGATCATGGGAGCTGATGATTCTCATAGCCATGGTCCTCCAGTTCCAGGCAGTGGGATCCCCTGTGTCCCTTATTGGTGTTGAAAGTAGAGGCAAAGAAAGTGTTAAACATCTCTGCCTTGTTGATGTTCCTGTTTTTGAGGTGACCAACCTCAACCTGTAACAGGCTGATATTATTTCTGCACTGCCTTTTGCCATTAATACATTTGAAAAACTTTTTCTGTTCCCCTCAGTTGGGGCCAGCTTCATCTCCGGTTGAGTTTCAGCACAAATTTTCTCCCTGCAGTGGTGAGCAGCATCTCTGTAATCCTCCCACGTCACCTGACCTTGCTTCTGCTGAGCCTACATCTTCCTTTTTTGCCTCTACCTCCCAAAGAAGATTCCTACTCAGCCAAGCCATCTTCTGCCTCCCCTGCTTGAATTCTGGCATTTGGGAATTGCTGTGCCCTTGGACGATGATATTTAAAACATGACCAGCACTGACAGACCCCAGCACCCAGCAAAAGCAGGTATCTTGCCAGGGTATCTTACTCACTAATTCCCTGAGCAGCCAGAAGTCTGCTCCCCTCATGTCCAGAGCTGAAGTACTGAGTGTTTGTATTCATTTTGGAACTGCTTTTACTTCAGCTGCAGCTGAAGTAAAATATTCCAAGTTAAATTTCACTGGATTATTACAGGGATTACTTAGAATCGGAGAATAATCAAAGTTGGAAGAGACCTTTAAGATCATCAAGTCCAACCATCCACCCAGCACTGCCACTGTCTCCTCCAAATCCAAACCTCCAAACCACATTACCCAGTGCACACACCTCTGAAACATCTTCAGGGATGGTGACTGCCACCTCCCTGAGCAACCTACTGTAAAGGACTCTTTTGATCCAAGTTCTAAGAATGTAGTCAGTGTTGACTATACTAATTTTCTTCAAGCCATGGCCTCAGAGGCCTAAATCAGCAGCCCACCTGTAAGGAGTTTCTCGCCCTAGAACTGTTATCAAAGTTAGTTTCAGTGGAAACAGGATCGTGAAGCTTTAGAAAGCACTATCATTATCTTGAATTCAGGTATGGCCTCCTGAAATTACATGCAAGGGAAGAAATTCAACCTCACCTTGACAGCACTCAACTGCAACCAAAAGTTTTTCACCCATGGCTGACCATTCTGCATCTCATGGAGAAAGCCCCACAAATCTGAACAATCCCCTGGACTCAGAACCTGCAGTTTACCACAGAGAAAGTAGGAGCAAAGGAAAACTGCCAGAAAGCTGTTCAAACATTTTTCTTTAGGAAAACATGGTAGAGTAACAAAGGTACCACTTTAATCATAGCATCTACTTGACACAGTTTCTACAGGATTAAGACTACCACTCCTTCTTTACTGTAAGATTCAGAGGTGGAGCAGAGGGAGAAGGGTCTGACAGTAAGGACCACAGCTTCATTTGGAAATTACTTGAGGAAGTTTCTGTCATGAACCAGGTTTTCAGGATGAACATATTTATGGTGCTTGCTCCCTGGAGGGGCCTGCAGTCAAGGGTAGAAGCAAGTTGAGGTATAGCTTCTTTTCAAAAAGCTTCAAATCCAGCCTATGGTGGAATTCTTCAGCATGGAAGCCAGATAATACCTCCTTCAAATAAGTCCCCAAACCATGGAGAGACAAGGATCGCCAGGATTAACTGAAAGGGATATAATTCCTTATTTTCTCTTACTGTACTATGTTACTGGTAATGTAGATTTAGCAGTGAAATATCTGTGAGTTTCACTGAATTTCCCATAAAACTCAAAACTAAATCAGGTGTCATACTTGTTTTTCTTTGTTCTGCGTGCTGTAGGAAGCCTCAAATGCCAAAGAATTATCAATTAAAGGAAACAAATTAATAAAAATCCCAGAATCATGTTCTAGAAAATGGGATCATAATGTCAACAGCACAAAACCAACCAACAGCTATTCTTTTTCAAAGGTCAGGCCTGTTATTTTCAGTTACACCAGAAGTATTCATTTCCTACCTTTCACCAAGATTCATCAGTGCCCTGGATTTGCCACAAGTTTGGCTATCAGAAGAAAGCTGGGTTACTTTGGGGGTTCTCCAAAGTGCTCCTCTTCCATGCTCTTCTCCTGAATAGTTATCTTTGAAAATGTAACACCTTTGGAATCCATGTGTCAATCCCAGTGACTTTGCATTGATGGAGTTAGCAGCACTACATCAGAGAAATAACATTTCGTAAAAAGATTGAGATCAAAAGCAGGATGTGGTGTTTCATCTCCTCATCCATCCAAATCCTCAATAGCAGCATTCTGCATTTACATTCCAGATGGCACCACAGATCCATGACAAAGCTGTTTTGGTTTTTTCCTTTCCTGTTATACTCTCAACAAGAGATTCATTCAGAACACATAATATTCAAGCAGTTGACATTTTACCCCACATATCACTTGAGGCAAGTAAGGGTCAGAGAGTGGTTTTGCTACATGAAGAAATCATGTGCATTTTCTTTATTAGTGTTTTGATTCTCACAAGGTCAAGCAGCTTGATCAAGCAAGTTTCAGTTATCATCCTCTTCCAGAAGTGAAGCTTTTCTTCAGGAAAACACATGATTTGATAAGGAACTTTAGAACATTTCAGAATGCACAAGGGCTGGAATGTTTCTTGGGAACTTGACAGACTGTGATAGCATCCACTTACAGTTTTACACACATGGATATTTACAAAAACTTCCCTGCATCTCTTTCACCTTTGAAATCCCTATTGAGTTCATCTGGGTTAACTTGCTCAAGTTCCTTCTTCCTGCATCCTTTATTTTCCCCTCTGCAAAAACTGTGTTGCTTCAAACTTTTAACAGGTCTAGCAAAACCAACTAGACCCTTCTGGCACCAATCACAGACTCACTGAGTTTGGAAGGCAGTTCTGAGGCCCTGTGGTCTAACCCCCTGCTGCAGCAGAGCCATTTGGAGCTGGTTGTCCTTGACTGTGTCCAAATGGCTTTTGCAGATCTCCAGTGGAGGAGACTCGACAAACTCTCTGACAGCCTGTGCCAGTGCCAAGTCACCCTCACAGAAAAAGGGATTCCTGATATTCAGAGAGCACAGCCTGTGTTTCAGTCTGTGGTCACTGCCTCTGGTCCAGTCACTAGGCACTCCCATGGAAAAATATATAGACAGGTCAGATTTTTACCATAATTAGGAAAAATACAGAAGCAGCCCCACACTAGCTAAAAGATATCAATGTTAATACTTTTCATCTGACTTCCTAATGAAATGGATGTTGGTCACTCCCACTACCTGTTCTTTCCTATTTTCTTTTGAGTCTGTCAGCCGTTTTTCACCATATTTAGAGCCCTGTGCACAGCTTCAAAGACAAGTGAAAACTTAAAAGTTCTTAATCCTTCAAACTTAAAAAAAAAATTATAGAGGGACAGAGAGGCTCAGATTAATGATTCATTAGGACAAATGACAAGAAGAACATGGGTCTTTTATCTCCTTGCTCTTTTAGCAGTAACTAACTGCTGGTACATCACAGTACACAGACCTCTGAATCAATCACAGACTGCCATTTCTTGCCTGACCTTGTAAATGGAATTATTACAGTGTCAACACAGGCAAAGGCCAGACTTCATTAGTTCTGCAGCCCATGGGATGTACCCTCTTTTTGTTGCAGTATTTGCTTCTCAATATAGAATTAAACTGCACTTACCTTAATCTAAGACATTCTATCACAGTGCAATGAGTTTTGGTCTGCATATACTATTTTGCACAGTGTTGAAATGGTGCGAAAAGAGTGCCTAAACAAAGCTATAGTAAATGCATGCAAAAATAGCAGTCCTCTGTAACAAACTAAGCAGCCTTAGATCAAACATGTTTGAATCTAGAAACAGTCTGCCCACTGCAGGAGCTTGTAGTTATTGGGCAGGTAAAAAGGTGTTGGCCTGTCTCACAGAGCACATGTAATTAATCAAGAAATAACAGATTTTTCTGCTGCTTTTTAAGAGGGAAGGATGCAGAAGAAAATGAGAAGTTGCCCCCTTGCCCATTTCATGCTAATTAATGCATTCAGAAGCTGTACTGAAAGGAATTTAAACTCGTGATAGTCATAAGAGGACAGATCAAAGGAGAAAAAACCAGACCAAGTCAAAGAAAGCTGCATATGCCTTCAGTTAACAGACAGAATACAGGTCTGAAGGAGGTAAGATTTCTATTTTTTTGTTTTACACAAAATATTCAGCTTTGCTTAAAAATTATGCTTTAGAAGAGGCTTGACTGTCTCTAAGTAAACTCAAAATGTTTTCTTTCCTTGGCTAGAATTATCTTCAGTGAAGTCATTGTTTTTTCTAATTTACCTGCATATGGTAGGTAAGATTAGTGGGATACAATCAAGTAGGATCTGTTATTGTGCTATTCACATTACAGAAACATGATTATGTATGGACTTCTTCTTCACTATATTTGATTGAGTAGATTTTTAACTATTCAGACAGCTGTAATTACCACCTTAAGACTGGGAATAAAGATAGTAATATAAATTCCCTACAAATCTGAGTTTAGATTGTCAGCAGACATAAATCAGTATTCCCACCTGAAATTCAACAGATCTCTGAGAGTCTCCAGTGACTGAAAACCTATCCCCTGAGTGTTACAGATCTACAGAATTCTGGGAAATTACAAAATAGAAGGGAATTATAGAATAGAAAAACAACTATTTTAAAGAACAGTATTAGTTTTTCTTTTAAATAGTTTTTCTTGTCCAGGTAAATTGCCTTTTTTTATATTCTAGATTTTACTTCAGAAATCTGCCATCATTTGGCACCTAAACAGACCACATAAAATTCTGCAAACTCTGTTATACTCAGTTGCAAACACCTTGATGTCAATGGTGATACTAATATGTAGACTACAGTTATGGTTTTGAGCTTTATCCTAAATTGGGACAGTTGCATGTGTATGTGAATCTACTTGATTCTGAAGATATCAGATCATTCTGCCTCTCTAAAATGCTCCTATTGAAACACAGAAGTTGAAAACATTAAGCTTCAATGGTAACAAACAATTTATCACACTGTGTTTCTACCCTGTAGGTTTGAGCAGGACCAACCTCACAAAATGCCCAGGAGATATAACCACCTGGACAGCAACTACTTCAGAGGGAAAGGACATGTCTATTTTGCAGCAGAAGAGTAAGCATAAATCAAAACCTATGTTAGCATGTAAGCTGGTGAAAGAATTTGTATTGAAAGAAAACCAGAAAATTGTATCAAAAAATTCACTGTTTTTTATAGATGGAATCCCTTTTAACTATCTTATAGTTCTCTCCAGTGTTTGTCATAGTGCAACCTTAGACAGCCCTCAATGATAAGAAAAATCAGAATTGCAGAATTCAAGAATCTAGAGTTAAATCATAGGATCACAAGTCATCGGCCTTTACCAGCTTTATTGAGGCTTATTTAGAATTTACTTTTAAGGCTGCTGCAAGGTGATCTGTGTACTAAATCTCTAGATTCACAGACCTCTCTTAGGAACCTCAAAGGGGCATTGTCTCACCCTAAAAAATGGCAGAACCCCACCAGAGAAATGGTGAAAAAAAAGAGCAAAAGACATCAGTGCCATACAAACATGACTCCCAAATTGTTTCTGGCATATATTTTTTTACCTTTGAATTACAATAAAATATGTTTGGTCTGGGATTATTAGAGATGCTATCCAACTGGTAATGTTTTATTACATAAGGCAAGTAACTCCAGTGTGCTTGGGATATCTGTATGTGAACTGTGCTGCTAGTTCTGGCTTACTGGGCCCCAAACTTAATGACTTGTTGCAATCATTCATACTGCAAGATGGCTGCTCCTCCATCAGCCCTGGCAAAAAGAATAAACAAAGGAGAAAGCTCTCTATTAGTCCATCCAAAGCAGCTCAGTTCTTCAAAAAAAAGGAAGAAAAAAAAAAAAAAGGCTGGCTAGTCATGTGTCAGCACTTGAAATTAGTCATGCTCACCTCTAACTGCTGTGAATTCTAGTGGCTGCATCTGTAAGTAGTTTTTCTAGATACACAACAGTGACCCTCTCCTTCCAGTACCAGAAGTATTCTAGATATGAACCCAGATTCCTAGCAGCACAACTACAGTTTTAACTGGAATGGCAAGAAATTGTATACACACTTTCCATACTACCCCTCTGAGTAGTTAGGGAAGTAGTCCCTCCAAGTTCCAGCTGTGCCGGCGAGAGTAGGGAAACCAGTGGAGGCATCTCACAACTTTGGCTGCATCATAAAGTGACTTCTGTGAGCTCTGTTCTTGGGTTAAACAGGCCTGCAGGCCACACAAAGTCTTCAAGGGGCAGAACCAACTTACAAGATCCACAGACTTGGAAAAAAGAAAATCCCTTTGTCTCCAAGGGACTTCATGTTCCAAACAGCACAAAGGAAGTTCGGACAAAAAGGCAGCCTGTTCTGCCACACAAATCTGCTTGCATCTCCTTTCAGGCTTTTTAGTTCACAAGGAAATACTCCTTTATGAAACTTGGAGTCAGTGAAAATGACCACAAATAGATATAAAAACTCTCTGGTAAGTACCTACACCTCTACTCAGTCCCAATGGAAAAGTCTGGGGTAATTACTGCAAGGCAACTAGGCATAAGATATACAGAAATATGTTATAAATGGATTTATCCTGAGTCACACAGCAATGTTTCCCCCATACTCTTGTCCCTTTAACCATTTCATTTATTTTTCTGTTCCTGAACAGGGAAAGAACAAAAAAAATGGGGAATGAATTAAGTATTTCTGAACAGGGAGGATATTAACATTAAAGGAAGGCTTTTTGTGACTAGGAAATTTAAAATTACTTTGTCAGCTTGCTTTTTGACGTAAAGTGGAAATGTGCTGCTTCTGCAACTCCCCAGTGAGTAGTGGGAAGGATGTCTTACAGCACAGTTTGCAAAGCATATTTTCCCAAAAGTGACACCAATAGTGTGCCCAGTATGTCATGCAAGAACTAAATCCTTATAGAGCTCTTTATGAATAATTAAAAGTTTCTTACTAATTTTTTAAGGTTGCAATGTCTTTTATGTATCAAAAAACCCCTTCCTTCATAAGAAGTTGTTGCAATATGATCCAATTAGGATACATTTTAAATAGTAGCTGCCTAATGAAATGTAGCAAATAAAATGAGCTGCATCATCGCAGATGTGGCATTTAATTTAATGCACATTCACTTGCAATATCACAATGCTGTGATTTGTGAGACTTACAGACAGGTATGTGTTTGGAATCAGTAGTCACTGGTAGATAATTATTTTCAAATAAATAAATTTTTTAAATGTTTAAGAATTTGATAGAGAAATTAGCAAACAGCTAAATCTATAGAAACTAACTGAAGTTATTGATACTTTGCCTATTTTCTGAGGTAAATTCTGCTCAATGCCATCCTCTGAGAAAAAGACGCTGAGACAAATTTTTGATCTAACTGTACTTGCTCCTGGGAGGATGCATCTAGTTGTGGTGCAAATGATTTTGTTTTGCTTTCCCAACAGAGCTCTGGGTATTGGACTTTTCATTTTGGTGCTGGCAATTTTACTTGCCTTTGGCTGCTGGTATTACAAAAGACGTAGTGGCTACAAAAGTCTGCGGGTAAGTGTGGCAGCTCATTTTCTCTCATGCTCTTATTTTGACAACATATTACCTTGATTTGCATGACAATAATGCAGAGAACATCAAATCTGTAACAGGACATCATTATCTCAGGCAATATTTACACTGAGATACATCACAGACAAAACCACACAATATGAAACACAACCTGTCCTGAAGAACTTGCAAGTCAGACAAAGGGGTAAGAGGAACCAGAAGCAAAGGGACATGAAACCAGTTGCCCAACTTTGCACAAAACATCAGTAAAAAACTTTATCTGTAAATTTTGTAAAATTAGTAAAAAAAATATTTGTAGGAAGCATTTTATTTATATTTACACAAAACAAAGAGACGTTCAGTGTCCTTTCGTTTAAATAGAAGTAATATATTCACTGTTCATAAGATTTACCCCTAAATAAGGACAGATATGATTAGAGTAAATCTAGGAAGCAGAGAGGAAAAAGAACTATTACAAGTAGGTAAATATGCTCACCTATGGGTGATGTGTGATTCATCCATATAAAATTTGACTTGTAGTTTTAAGATTTAAAAAAAAAGTGGGATGGGTTTGAGATTTGTTTTCTAAAGACTACTTTAGAAATATTTTCATTTGTGTCCTCTTAGAAATTATTTTTTAAAAAGGTACAATCCTTCTCATAACAACTGTTGTTAGAAGTCCCAAAGCTTTATTTTTGAAGTTTTGCTCCCTCTCTTATGAAAGGGAGGTCTTTTTTAATTCTTTAAAGTGAAAGCTTGTTATGGTTTAACCCCAGAGAGCAATTAATCACTGTGTAGACACTTCTTATTTCCTGCTGCCACCCTGGTGTGGAGGAGAATTGGAAAGAAAAGGTGAACTTCATGGCTTAAATAAGAACAGCTCAGTAAGTGAAACAAAATATAATCATCTACTACTAATAATCATCATAATGAAAAGGTGAGAAAGAGAGGAGTAAAACCCCAAAGGAACAAGTGATGACCAAAAGAATTTCTCACCACCCCCAGCTGATGTCCATCTCATTCCTGAACAGCAATCAGCCCCTTCCAGCCAAATCCCTTATTTTTATCCTGAGCATGATATTCTCCGGTGTGGAATGTCCCTTTGGCTAGTCCAGGTCAGGTGTCCCAGCCATAAGCCCTCCCAGTTTCTTGTGCACCTGCTCTGTGGCAGAGCATGAGCCACTCAAAAATCCTTGACTTAGAGCAAGAGCAACTGAACAAAAACCAAATAATCATGTTATCAGCATTAGTCTCATAATGAATCCAAAACAAAGCACTGTACCCCTGTTTAAAAAAAAATAACTCTACTCCAGCTGAAACCAGGACAAAGCTTTATGCAAATACGTGTTTTACAATATATTTTAGTTAATCTAATATTTTGAAGAAGATATAAGTAACTATTTGAGACTAAAAAACCCAGCAAAGCTCTCATCTAAGTCAGATGTTTCTGTTAACTGTGTCCTATTCTCTTTCTATCCAATTATCCAGTTATCTATCCAATACATACATCAACTGTCAGAATACCTAAAAGCTGAACTTTCATAGTGAAATGTTGCAAAAAATGAAGGTAATACTCAAAAAACCCCCTTCAAATATCAAACCAAATGCCTGCTTTATATATCCTGGCAAAAAGAATAATCTGTTTTTTAATTCCTTTTCATGACAGATTTCTACTTTCTGGTTTTGAAAATAATATTTTTCTTAGGCTATTTCTGGCTAGGGGAGAACTGGTACAGAATGTGTAAAAAAGAAATGCTAAAAATTGGAAAACAAAAAGCTTGGGGATTAAGGAAAGAAATACCTGGCATAAAAAATAGGAGGCATTTGGGTACATGAGACGTCAGTTCCTGCATCAGTCTGAAAAACGGGATACTTATTTTTCTGGCAATGTAATTGGATTACACAGGAGAGAGAGCATATGTCTCAGCAGAGACAGCAAAGTGTTAGGTGAGATATCTTTCTAATACATATTGTATATGTGCTGTCAAATTTTGCTCCAACTTCAGTCTCTTCTTCCTTTCACCTTCCCCATATTTCTTTACAATCCATCACAGAGCAAAAGCTCTAGTGTGAGCACAATACGAAACGTGGTAGATGAGGGGGAAATACTGGACTGCAAAATGGCTCTGCAGGACTACAGAGACTTTAATTCTGTGGTAAGTTGCAACTCAAGATCTCACTTAAAACGGAGTAAGACATAGTGAGATAATATTGTTAAACAGGCACTTGATGATTTCTCCCATGGTGTATTCCCTCATACTTTGAGACTTCAATGCTTCAATATCAACTTAGAAAGTAGTATTTGGAATAATTTGTACTATGAATTTTTTTATTACATCTACTATTTAGAATGCTTATTTTAAAGTTATTGTCTTCAATTTATATTTATTCTTAAATTGTATTACCATTTTGCAATCTATTAGAATGATGCAACACCTGAATGCTGAAATACACTGAAAAACCCCAAATGTTTCCCTAACTGATTTTCTGCCATTCAGAATAACAACAAATGGATTGTGTCTGGGATACTATATTCTGACAAGCATTATCAGAGAATATTATAAAACTTCAGTGTGTTAGGTCTTCTAATCATTACAGAAAGATGATCACATTTAAACTTTCAATTTTCAAAAAGATAATTTAAGTGATATAAATGGATGTGCTGAATTTTTTTAGAATTGAGAAGAGGCTAGACTCAAACAATTTTAAAGAAGCTGCTCAAATTTTTACCTCTACAAATATGACAATATGCCTGCATCAAGACTCTTAAATAAAAGTTTCAATATTTGTCTGAATTATCAATTTAAAAACACCCCATATACAAAAGAAAAATATTCCTGCCTTTTTAACAGCAAAAATTCTCTCTTTTATGAACAATAGCAATAAAGTGAATCTGATGCAAAACCTGAAAACATACTACCAAAAAAGTAACCTTAAAAAACAGACAGCTTCTTTAAGTCACAGAACTGAACAATAGCAATAAAGTGAATCTGATGCAAAACCTGAAAACATACTACCAAAAAATAAACCTTAAAAAACAGACACAATGAATGAGTTCAGCTTCTTTAAGTCACAGAACGGTATCTAATATGTTGGTAAATAGCTTGCTGTGTATTTAATGTCATTTTCTTGTAATTTTCCTTGTAATTCAATTGGTATTTTTTTGATCTTTCTCATCCATTTTCCTTACTATAGGTACCTGATGCTCCACCAGCTTATGACAAAATTGCTGCAGATCAGTCACCACCTCCTTATTCACCATGATACCATGAAATTTGAAACCCTAGACATAGTGATTCCATTTACTCATGCTAGCTCATTTCCTGTAAATGCTTAACTTCCTTAAAGCTAAAATCATACGAAAGAAAACAACATGTCTTCACTAGCAGTTGCTGAAAACTATTCCCACTTAATTTACAGAACTGGTCCTTGAAATGCCTCAATAAATATGAATGTGCTTTTGTTTTAAGCTTTTCACTTTTTGCAGTCAGATTAATACATTATGGTCTGGTCATCTTGAATCCTTCATAGGTCTACACAGATCTGTAGTCACACACTATTCAGTATCAATCAGAGTAAAAAGTGACAGCACCTTTGTCTTCATCTTCCTCATTTAGTTTCCCTTTCTTTAAAAAAATAATAAAAAGCTCCAAAAAATCAAAACAACAACAGACACACACACACAAAACCCACCAAAAACCAAAACCAAAAAATCCCAAACAACTATTCCTTAGAATGTGATGTAAAAGAATCTGTCACAAAATGAACCAAACCATTTGATTACATGTCCTCTTACAAACTGTTTTCTCACCAGCAATATTAAAATCAACTTCCAAAAAGTCACTATGTTTTACAACACACTTTAACCTCACATCACTTGTTATGTACCAGAAATGAATTAATTCTTTATAAAACATGATCAATCTAGGCAATCTAGGAGTTTCTGCTTGGAGTCCATATTATTTCATACTGCAATGGATATGACATCATCTTTCATCACTTCCTTGTGGCAGTCATATGAGAGAGGAAAAGAACTTTTTTAATATAAAGACTTACATGTCATTTCTTTGTAATATGATGAAACTATATAAGAAAATGCACAAAAACTATTTTTCTTGAAGAATACAGAAGACAGCAGGCTTCTAGATGTTAATTTTCCTAGCTTGCTAGAACACTAGCAGTAATAAAAACCAAAGGATTTTGATATGCATAAACTGGCTATATACATTTGATAGTTACTGTTTACTCAGCCTTTTTGTTATTGCTTGCTTGCCAGATTATTACTTAAGATTATATGCAGAGCAATAAATTTATACACAAGGCCTGATATCTCACACCAGGAGGCAGCTAGAATGGTACAACATTCATTAAAATCAAAAGTAGTTACAGAAGAAAACTGATTTAATAAAGCAATTATTAACTGCTATTAGTAAAGAATCTAGTTCTTTGTCATCAAATACTCAAATACAAACATTAAAACAAAATAAGTTTTCAACACAAGGCACAGCTACTTGCTTAACATAAGCTCCATTTGTGTTGACAAATAACAAAGATGGGTTTTTTGAAATGTTTCTTCTGTAATAAAAATGTTTATATAGATTAGTAAAATTGTTGGAAGGTAATAAATATCAGTAATTCCTCTGAAAGGTTATAATCCATCCATATGTTTTTATAAATGTAGTTGATATATTTATTTACAAACTTAGGGCCGTATTTTTGAATTTTAACCTAAAAAGCTGTCTTACCTGTCTCATTTCCAATATCTGCCTGACAGGAAAAAACCTGTGGAATTATTTAGTAACAGAAAGAAGAATACACAGGAAAACATAAAAAATGCCATCTTATAGCTAGTAAGCACCAGAGATATAGAACACAATGGCTGACTAATTTTCTTACAGGACTGGTAAGCTAAAGCTTGGGGCTGATATCTTCAGCAACTCAGCGCTCTGTATTTCTCTACTCTAGGGGAGCATCCTTTCAAAAGACTGTAGTATTCCAGTGGAACAGAACTGACATACACAGTAATTTTCTCATGTCTGAGAAAAAAAATTAATAGAACTTATTTATGAAGAAGTGACTAGAGTTCAAAAATTTTTACTTGATTGCACACATTTTTAGTAGTGTCAGAATTAAATATATTACCAGATGTTGCAAAAGCTCATGAGGAAGTTAACACTGATGAAGTAGAAATATTAATTTCTTCATGGGACTACGTAAGGCTAAATTATTAAAACTCCTCAGCAGCCAGAACTGGAACAATTAAACTTTGAGCTGAATTTATAGACACTTAAAGGATAGGTAAGCTCCCTTAGAAACCTATCCTTAGTTTTCAGAAAGCCATCTCCTTTTTTCTCCTGGTGAAAATAGTATTTTTGCTTTATAGACACAGTTAGCCAGTGGTCTCAGATTTAAGTGCATTAAAATAAGAGCATGAAATAGAGCTTTACACAGTACTCAAATAGTTGTAAACTTTATTACTCATGCTGAATGCTATTCTAAATTCCATTTTTCAAATCTGGCTCTATGCCCAGTGATGGTACACGGCAGAGTCTGGCTGCTGACTCATTAAAACAAAGAAACACTGATACAAGACAGGTCACACCTTGAAAACGAGATCTGTAATTGCCAAAGTTGCATGGTGCAAGAACTGGTACTTTCTGTATTGCACTCAGTAACACTGCACTTTACCAAAGACTAGTTAAAACATTCCAGGACATCTGCTCCTTTAAAGAGAAATGCACAGAAATGTCTTAACTACCATACATGGAGAACATGGTGTTCAACCTTCCTGGAAAGTTTTTCAGATTAGACAGTTATATGACCCCAGCAACAGGTCACCAATTTAGATTCATAATTTCTTTAGTTTGGTCATGTATGTAATAGAGAGGATGTAAAAGTCAAAGACCTTCTGTTCCTTTGGTTTTTACCCACTTTGCAATCAGGCTGCTATCAGATGCCTTGTATTACAACTATAATTTTGAACAAACACATTTTAGCTTAATTTTTTCCATCAAAAAAAGCTAATGAAGAAATCCATGGGCAATTTGAGTTTTTCCCCTGGATGCTGATGAAGAGGTGGCTGGTCATAGCTGGAGAATGATGCTCTGTTTGCTGCTTATCTGCACTATCAGAGCAGCAGAGACACTGTTATTACAGCTTATCTGTACAAGAGGATCTTAGGAACTTCCCCATAGCTATGCATGGAACCCTTACGTAGATGCAACAAATACTTCAAAAACAGACCCCTTACTAATATAGTGTTTTGGTCAGATTGGTACATTGCAATGGCAATAGCAGTTACACTGTCTGTGTTTGGATTCCTGGTATGACCCTGCTGGAGCATCTACTTTCTAATGCAGTTACAAGCCTTAATGTAGCCTTCAAAGCTACTGAACAAAGGTAAAATGCAGGAAGTCCCGATGAGTTCAATCTTCCTGGCATACTGCACCATACAGCAAAACACCTTCTTGAGTAAAGAGCCAAAGGGTATAGTCTATATATGTCAGAAAGTTATCATAAAAGAAAGTATCATGAACCTTCCTTAGGAAGTGCTTGCTTTTTTAGTCTCACTAGTGTAAATGACTGGCATTTGGAGCTGGTTGCTAGGAGAATCCAGTGACATTCTCCTCAACAATGTCCTTTGACTTAACTTCTGCTACAGCTGTGGATATATGTGTATTATCTGGGCCCTAAGAACTGTATTAGTATCAGCCATATTGCTTGTAATTTTTCAGTGATATACTTTGATTCATTTTTATGTCTAATATTGGTGGAATATCCATTACTTTGTTGGTGTTATGTCCGTGTACTCACATGACATAAGTGTACATTTTTTGCCTTTAAAAGCTTCTTTTCACTTATGTAAAGGAAAAGGTTAATGAGTTTTTTTGTCTTTGGAGAAGTAGCATTTATGCTCTTGTACTTTTCTGATGACTATGCATTAAACTGTGCAACCGAAAGGCTGAAAGCCATTTCATGAAACATATTTTACTGTCCATTAGAGTAGAAAAATGCTTGAAAATTTCCAGTGTTGTCTTCTGGACACAGATCTGCACTGAACGTTACATGCAGTAACAGAGGTAAACTAGCAGCAATACGAAGTTTAAAAACCTATCTACCAGTATTATCTAAACATCCCATATATGCTGCCAGCTAAAATCCAGCACTTGTGCACTTTTTGGAACTGACTCTCCATATTTTGCATCCTTAGAGAACTTCAAATTTTTAAATTATTTGTTTTACACAATAAGGCTTTGACTAAAAAGGCATCAGCCTTAGATTTCTAATGAGCAGAACGAACTATTGCGTCCCTTGCTGTCAAAATCTAGCTCTTCTATATGTTTTGTCCATGTAGATTTTACTTTTGTGCCAATACAAAGAGTACAATTTTTGGGGTAATGGTGTTCCCAACTGCCTTGTGCTCACAGCCCTATGAAGAAGAAAGGCTCATCCATCTTATCCTCATCCACCATAAGCAATCTCTCAAATCCCATTGGATCGTATCTCTCACACTGGAACAGATTGTCCAGAGAGGTTGTGGAGTCTCCCTCACCTGAAATAATCAAGAGCCGTCTGGAGCAAACCCGTGCAATATGCTCTGAGATGATCCTGCTTGAGCAGGGAGATTGGACGAGGTGACCTGCTGCAGTGTCTTCCAACCTAACCCATTCTGTGGTTCTGCAACTATGACATTTATTCATCAAAAAAAGAACCAGAGATTACTTGGCCCTATTTAACTGGAGAAAAAAGGGCCAGAATTTAAAATCCATTTTGACAACACTATTGATATTAAATGTCACAGTTACAGCTTCGTTTCCCCAGAAAGCTCTTCATATGGGATAGCTGCAAACTCCAGCCTTGGTGGATTCACATGGGTGAAAATCTGAACAATGCTTAAGCAGCACATGTGCCTTCCCATTTCCAAACCATTTTAGTATAGCCTCAATTAGATGTTTGGACCACATTCTTTATTTGCTTCTTTCCTGAGACATAGATCATGAGTTAAAATCCATTAAAAAAAAGAGTGATGGCCTAATATAAATACTTCGTCTTTCAATACTGATTTTGTAAAGTCTTTTCAACTCCACTAGTTTTCATCTCTGGATGGGAGAAACAGAATTCTCTGCTGCATGTTTGCTATGTTCTCTGCATACACAGAAAAGCAGCCTTCCTTCTTCACAGTTTTTTTTTTTTCATTTACTTTACCATCATCTTGTAGCTATAACGGGAAAGAACTGACTCATTTTTGTTGACAATAAGTTTCTTAAGAAAAAGGTGTCATCTTCCAAGTTCTATCAATTTGTCCTTTCCCAACTCACCTTGGCAAAAGTAATTGATTTCTATTTCTCCATAGCACCATGTACACCTCAAGTAACTCATTGCTCCTGACACTCTGGAGCAAGAGTGGCCCTTTTTAGACATACTTCAGTGTTAGATTTGATTCTGCAGTTGTTTGCAGGAGGAATTTTAGGATGGTTATCTGGAAGCTATAAAAAATAAAAACCTAAAAACTGCTTCAGAATTTGCATTAAAACAAAAAATCATATGGTAAGTGTGACTATTCCCTGACATTAATATCCTGCAGAGAAATCCTTGCAAGGATGAAAAGGTGTCAGGTGTCTATCTTGTATAAATTACTCCTATTTCTCTGTCTCCAGGAAACTCAACCTGAACATTTTTGGTATCAACACATTTAAGAAGCTTGTATTTCTTACATTCATAATTCCCAGGATATGCAGCCCACATGATCTTCACTTCCTGGATTTTGGACCCAACAACAATTTCAGTCAACTCCCCATTCAAACCTTCTGCCATTGAACACAATTCATGCACCACTTCTTATAATGGATAAGAAGTTTTATGCTTTTATATCACTGTTATTGCTGCTCTGCTTCTCTGAATCACTGCTCACATTTTCCCAGTACCTGATTCTTTTGTCTGCAAAATCTGCCCTTTCATGACACAGACAAGTTCAGGCTGAGTTTACACAATTTTCCTGGAATTATTGTTGGAGGCTGTGTATACATACTGGGAAAATTAACTCATACTTGATCTATTTCTTAATTCTTTCTACTAAGCATTGTCTACTGGCCACTACAGTGAGTGAAACACCCAGTCCAAGGTGCAGCTAATACAAGGACAGGTCTGCTGCACCAGCCACATGACTTGCATTTCATGTGCCTAAGGAAGAAATTCACTTTCAGACATGGGCTCTCTTTTAAAAACACATTGGTTTTCCATGAATTTCTTATGCCATAGAGGAGGCAAATACTTCAGACAGGCCTCTCCCACTTTTTGTTCTTCTATGATCACATTGCAAAAAGCTCTCTACTGGCAAGAACAATATTTTGAAGGCATAATATAGTTGAACAGTAAAATATTGTTCAGACAAGCCTCATACAAACCACTGTAATTTTAGTATTGATGTGTTGCTAATATGAATTGTCAATGTTCTTTAAAAATAGATGTATGCAATTCTTTCTTCGCAGTAGTAAAATTTTATTATAATACTAAAAATACCAGCTTTTTATATTGTGTACCTAGAATCCATCACAATACTACTCTTCCTTTATTATAATGAAGATGTCCTGTAGCTACATAGTAATACACAGTCACTAATTCCTCTCTGTTATTCAATTTCACTGCCACATGTGATTAAAAAAAAGAATGAGCAATGATTCTATAAATAACAGCATGTTATGAGGCAGATCTCAATGTATATGCTGGTACCAGATGGCAACGACCTATTGACAGGCAAAATAGTCAGATTTTATACTTATTTATTCATTCTTGTGTATTTATACTTGAGATAGAAATATGAGCAAATAATTAAATAAGTATATTGTCTTCTTTTTATTACATCGCATTGAAAAGCAAAGTTCTAAAGCCTGAAGACAATCACAAAAATCACAGTTGTTTCTTTACTATCTTACTTCCCTTTGCTATTTAATTTTTATAAATGCTATTGTCAATGCTCCTCACATTCTTGAAAATAACTGCATTTTCCAAATATTTTCTTCATTGTAAAAAGTGAGAATAGGGGAAGATAAAGCAGTAATCTAGGTGTCTAACCTTTAGTTATGGATGGGATCTGGAAGGAGTCAGGGGACCATGGATTCTATTCCCAGTTCCTCCATGTTGCTATGAGAACTCAGAACTTCAATGTCTTCATCTGCAAAAGGTCAGAAGTCATACTTATGCACATTTTAATAGACGTTCTGTGCAACAAACAATTTCAAAAAATATTATAAGCAATAAATTACATTTTCTTTGCATTACCTTTACAAACCATTTTTATTTAATGTGCTTAGTTCAGCTAAGATTGTAATAAAAGATACTGTAAGAACACCAAATTTCTGAAGAACTTCTGGACCAGTCACATATGAAAAAATGAACTATCCTGGTTTCCAAGATTACTCACGACATTCAGGTGTGATTACTGACTAGACAATTCCACATTTTGAGAAAATAGGAAAACAGACTAAGATTTATCAAGATTTTTAAGTTTGCTTTTTTGCCACTGTAGTTTCAAGGAAACATTTTTACAATAACATTGTACTTTGTCATATTTACACTGTGGCTTCTTCAAGAACTAAAAAATCCTTATCTGGATGCCCATCTGTATAAAATGACCATATACAGATTCTATCTTGTATCCTATGTACAAAAACAATGAGATTTAAAAAGGATCATGTAGAAAATCATTACAGCAGTTTGTCCTTTTACGTCTTCAAGAGACATAAAACCAAGCAAAAATAGGAACAGAGTGCCAGACTTTCAGTGGTTTTAATAACCTGGTTTAAAGATCATGTCTTTACAGCTAAAATATTCTGTAAGTGGTACAGATTTATTGGATTAATTAAGTTGACACTGATGTCAAGTTGGTTTACAATTCATATTTCTATGAAAAAGTTAGTAAAAGGCTAAATAATAGTCAGAAACCAACCCACAAAAACACTGAAATAATTATTATAAAAGAAAAATCATCTACACACTGCTGAATAGCTCATACGATCTTTAGAACAAGCACTCTTCTGACACCACATCTCAAAGTTATAATAAAATTGAAAAGGTATACACAGAAATGACAGCAACTGATTACTTCCATGAAAGAAATAATTGAATTAATGATTTCTCTTTATTCTAGAAAAGAGACAACCAACATGGCAAAGGTCTACATAAGCCATATGGAAAAATAGCAAAGAGCAAAGGCTTTTTGTATCTTACAATATAAATATTTGCATCAAATGAAACTAGCAGGTGCCAGGTTTGAAAACCAGAAAGGAGATTTATTTACAAACTCTTTACCGCTGGATGCTGTGAATGGTAATAGTCTTTTTACATACTTCCATGAATTCTTGAAAGGATTGGTGTATCTCATCAAGAGAAATACATTGAAAGGTATGAAATTTAAAAAAAAAAAAAAAATCACAGCTGTGTGAGGAATACTCTGGCTCACAGATAAGTGGATATTAAAAGTGTATTCAGACCTGGTTTTTTGGTCTTTTGGAATGCTACTGGTGAGTGCTTCAAGAGACTAGGTGATGCTAGGATCCATGGCCATCACAATAGGATAGTTGGATCTTAAGTCTGATACAGCATTATTAATCTTATATTTCTTATTATTTTGAGTCAGTGAACGCATTTGAGGTGCAGCTTACAGACAGCAGTCTGCAAAAAGAGTTAAGTTTTTGTGAGCACCTCTGGCCGTGGTCAGAGTCCTTAAAGGAAACACTCCTTAAACATTACAACATTCATGCTTCAATAAAAATTATTAATTTACTTTAAAATTAATTTGGGCTACTAAAGTTCTGCACTACCACAAAGTATAAGCAAAACCAACTATGAACCACACACACTGTGGCAGCTATGAATGCCCTACAAATGCTAGCTTTTAGTAATTTTCTGACCTACTCCCATGAGACATACTAGTTTCTGTTCACTCACCAGGAGAATTTTTGCTTCCCTTTTCACATTAAACCCTTTGCTATGTCACACAGTGAAATCAGCACAGATTTGACGTGGCAGAAACACTTGATTTGAATAGGTACTTCTATGACCCCTAAATATCACGTCAAATATCATTGCTTCCAGGGTGGCAGAATCCCTATGAGAAAATGGCAGCACACACATGGGGGTTTGAAAAGTGAAGCAATATTAATGTAATTTTCTACTCATAGCAAAGCAAAATCATATGCAGAACATGTCCATTCAGGAAAATAAAAGGATATAATTTAGAATATTCAAAGTCATTAGTAAACCTAGAATTTTGCATGTAATGTAGTGTGTGAATATTGTATATAGTATCAGAGGGTGTCCAAAAGCAAGGCATTTTACAAGCTCTGAAATGCTGAACATGTTTTCTTAAAAGGCTGATTTATATATCTATGTTTATATGTTTCATTAGATGTCTTTTTAACTTCAAGTCGAGATGCAGGCAGTTCTGCTTTTTCATTGTGTCTGTGAATATAATCTACTTTTTTACAGCTCTTTTTGTGCTGGTAACACTATTCATCTGGTGGAGTGCAAAAGGTACATAGCAAATTGTCAATAGGTAATTAGGTTCATTTGAAAAAAAGCCATGTCTCCGACTGACATTCATACTATCAGAGAAGAGTATTGAGAACAGGAATTTTATTCACAAAAATTACTAAAATTTGGTTTTACATAATGAATGTTGCAAGCCCATTACATAATAGTCTCAAGTCTTTCTCCAGTAGGATTTGGAATGTGAACATGTGTCTGAGAATAAAAATCCATGAAAACTGTAATCAAACTTACCAAACTTTTCATGTAAAGTTTATGTCTGACAAATTATAAAATATTTATGAAAATCATAAAATATTGCCATATTAATTCAGAGAATTTCTTGGAAATCATTCAAGCAAGTTACTTGAGTCCTGAGTTCCTAAATTCAGCTTTTCTAACTTTTCTCTTTATTAGAATTATAGCATAAATCTTTGTATTACATTAGCACACAGAAAAATGCCATGCAAGAATTTTATCTCCATCAAGAACAACTTCAATACTAGAACCTAGTCTTGAGCTTTCCAAAAATGTAGACAACTCACTCTACAGTAAACATAAATTAGAACAAAGGAAAAAACAATCATTGCAAGAAAAGAGAAAAATCCAAAAAAGTGAGTCCCAAGGTTCAACCAGTGAAACAGAAACAAAATGAGTTGCTGGTACATATGGGTTTTGGGTATGTAAAATGTCCATGAAGAAACTGCCATTCTCTGCCATCTCCCTCTGCTAGAAAAGTCACCTGCAGCTGTAAAATGCAGTCAGACTTAAAAATCCTTAGTACTGTAAACTCTACAAGGGCATGCAGACATCCTTAGTACTGGTGTCTTCAAAATCAATCACAAAACACCTTCCATGAGAAGCAGAAAAATCATAGCAGGTAGCTTTTTCTGAATTTAAACAAACCTTTCATTCCGAAACTGACAGCTTCCATCTTTCCCAGCCCTGAGGTAAGATGGAGATTTCTGATCCAGAAAGATGAAATTCCCCAATGAAATTCTTTTAATTAGTGCAAAAGGAAAGGTCCCTATGGAAGGTGCAAGCCTTTGTTCCCCACAGTTTCCCAGAACTTCAGCTAAATAGCTATCCAGGTCACTTTTCAGAACAATTTAAAGAGCAGCTGACAGAGACAGTAAGATATGGTCCTGTTCTTCAACTCAACATCTGAACTGCAAAACTGTGTACAGCAAAAGGGGAAGGGAAGTAGAAAATTCAACAGGATGAAAAAAAAGGTTGAAGCTTCATTTTTATGAAACTCAGTCTACAAACACTGCTAAATACAGATATGTAAGCTTTTATCCCCTTTGTCAAAGCTATTTAAAAGGCAACTATCATTCATAAACTCTTCTGAAATCCTCCCTTCTAATTTCTAAAAAAAACCCAAACCAACAAACTCCACAAAAAATCCAACACGTACAAAGACAACAATTCTAAAACCACCATCTTCTATAAGATGGGCACCATTTCTCTATATGCAAAATCACAAAAGATATAAAAAACTTATCTCCATGAGCACTACAGCAGGCAGCTGTGAACTCAGCAGATCTGCAGAAAATAACCCAAAGTTTTTATCAGATCAAATGCTGAAACTAAGCCAATAAATACTGAATATACTGTATAAAAAGCGAAGGTTAATGCAATATGTAAATTATCCCCATTCAAAGTACTAATAAAGCTTCTTTTAATCTTTTGTGATGTTTTAGTACTTTCCTTCCAGATAGACATTTATAACCTAAAGAAAACATACAGAGCTAGAAAGCATGACCAGTGAAAAATTGGGTAGTTGTTATGGCTAGATGGAAGTTTAGTGAGTGACCTTGTTACAGTTACCAGATAATATGGAAATACATACAAGGGTGTAAAACAGAGAACAATGAATTGTTCAACAGATCATTGAGCTTTAAGACAAAGCATGGCAGTCTTTAAGAGCAATCAGTGTGACTTAGACTGGTGTATAGGAAGCCATGTGTAGCCTTACCATTTCACTGCAGTTATTTAGGCAACATAACCAAACATCCATATTAAGAATGGATGAAGTATGAGTTATCCTGCCCTATATCATGAGGAACAATAAGGAGGCCTTCCTTCCAAATCCTGTCACATCACGTGAAATGTAAAATCAGAGAACAGAAGAGATTAAATAATTTCATTTTACCATACACCAAAAGAAAGATATGTATGTATGTATGTATGTATTCTCCCATGGTGTAACAGATATACATATTTTTAACTACTGCCAACACAAAGCAGTACAGCAACTTGATTTATTACATGCAGATTCTTCTGCATTGTTGCTAAACAGTACACTGGTCCAAAGTTACTAAAATACTTAAAAAACTATACATTATGTAAACAAAACATAAATAAGACAGCATAGTTCTTTGTACATATTATTTAGTACAGGTTTTTAGGAGCTCAGGAATATGTACAGTTCTATACTGTAGATTGCATTTTTACAATGCTTTTTTTTTTTTAAAGAAACAAGTCAAAATTTAATTTAACAAATAAAAAGGAGATATATACTGTCATAAACACACTGGCAAACAGTCTGTAGTGTAAGATGGAACATGTGCAAATGGTGAGAGTCCTCCAAATTGTTAAATGAATTAATTGGTCATCTCTAAGCCTTTTACTAGAGAACTTTCTGAAAACTTCTGACAAACTAAAATTTTTCTTTCTCCACATCCCCACAGGTAAACACGTAAGAACTGTAACCTTGTTAATACTGAGTAAATCAATTGCTTAAAACATTGCAAGAAATTATTCAATAGTTAACAACTTCCAAAGTTTGAAGAATGCCCCAGAATTTCAAAGTGGCTCATTTGCAGTAAATTCAGGGTGCAGCTTTGTCAGGTTTATCAAGGCAAGATGTCTGAGATGCAGGGAAGACTGCAGTAGAACTTCTGCTTGTGGAATTAACAACAGGAAGCAGTGATGAAGACAGGGAAGGAACTTTGGGTGCTGAAGTATTTAGAGAATTCAGTATGGCTCCCTCTGGACTGACCAACAGTTTTTTGATAGAACCATCTAGCTGAAACACTGATGCGTTGCTTGGTAAATGAGAGCTTGGAGGATGAACAGCAGAAACAGAAGATGTAGCTACATTCATGGGAGACTTTGTCACTGAAGATACAGACAGAGTTACTGCAGACAGTGAAGTACATGAGCTAGCTGGAGTACTAAATATCTGGGGTGTTGCATGTACGATGGGTAAAGCATCTGCAGCTCCAAAAGAGTTCACAATTTTTGTAGAGCTTTTCAAAGGATGTTTTGGTACTTGCCAACTTAATGAATGACTTGGTGCTAGGATGATTTTTGAGGTTATTGGATTAACAGCTGGTACACCTTGAGGCTCTTGACCATGGTTAATTGTTAAAGGAGTCTGTTTTGCATTACCGGAGAGAAGAAGAACATGGCTGCCTGCTCCAAGGCCTTGTAGTGGAACAACAAAACGAATACCATTAATCATTATATGAGTTCCAGGTGCCAAAGGCATACAAGTGTTAATGACTATTTTTTGTAGAGTGGAAGGTTCATTCAATGGAATTCCTCCTGTTTTGCTTGTTACAGGGGGTGAAGCTTCAGACATCTGAACGGCAGAAGCACAAGCATAATCATGATTTTGTTTCTCATATGTACTGGGAGGCACCTGCTGGCATTGTAGGGTGGAAAGAGTGGGAAAACTAATTACTTCACCTGTATTTGGTGATGGAGGGGGCAGCACATTCTGAGGTTTGTGAATACATGCATGACTTGACACAGCAGCTGAAATTCCTGGTGACTGAAACTGAACCAGTGTAGGCAACTGTCTTTTTGGTACTGGAAGAGGAGCTGGAACTGCTGCCAACTGAGGAACTGTATGTAACACCTTGTGAGGGGTGGCTGCAGGTCCAGGCAAGCTAATGACTGGAAATTGCAGAGCAGATGTGAAGTTCTGTGGAGATACTGTTGGCTGTGTTGAAATCAGCACAGATGAAGCAAGATGTCCTGTCTTCACAGTTGATATACCCACAGTATTTCCAATAGTTGATGTACAAAGTTGATTACCCAGAACTGGCCTTATTCTTGAGGGATCATTGCAACCAATCAAGACAGTAGGTTGCACCCCAGAGGAAGTTCCACTTGATGTTACTGAAACAGATTCAATTTGTGCATTTGCTGTTGTCATTGTAAAGGCATTTTCAGCTTTTGTTGCAACATCTACAGTTTCATTAGCTGACACAGCAAAACTTGGAACAGGAACCACAGTACTACTTGCCAAGGATGGGGCTAAGGCTGATCTCTTCTTGTCTTCTCCTTTAGAAATGCCAGAGTGCAATATATTAACTGGTACAGCCTCCTGTGCATTGCCTTTAGTATTTACAATGGTCTGACCTATATTTAGTCCAATTTTCACATCTTTTACTTGAGCAATAGTTGGTGATGAGTTTATTCTTATTGGTGCTCCTAGTGTAGATGGGATCAAAACCAACTGTGGTTGCTCTGTGGCATTAACAAAGGTTTTGGTCAGGGAAGAAGGAAGGTTCTGTTTCAATGATTCTGCAACTAGATTGGTAGTTGATGGGCCATTGGCAATTTGTGTGTTAATGAAAACCAGCTTCTGAGCATTAACAGCAGTGGATGCTGGACAGGGTATAATATTGACCCCTGATGCCCCAGGGGGAGACAAAATTGGTGGATTTGTGATTAATGTAAATTTCTGGACTGGAGTACCACTGATTAACTCTCCATTTGTTGCAGAATTTGACTCAGATTGTGTAAAAGATTTTGTTTTCACTTTAGTATCCCCTTGATGCTGCACAGAAGAATTTGGAGTTTTGACAATATTACTTTGTCCAAAGCTAGTCATACTAATAAGGCTGTTTGGAGTTGCTGACACCAAATTGCTAGCTAATGGAATGGAGGATAAAGAAGAAGACACATGGCAGGAGTCCTCTCTTACTCCACACAAAGAGTCCCAAACAGCTGGCTGCTGTAGTGTCAATTTGGTATTTTTCTCCATTGCCTGGGTAAAATCAGCAGAGGAAGCTGGAATGTTAACAAAAGAAGTTGTTGAGGGGGCAAACCCAGAAGGAGATGATTGTTCAACATGTGGGAGACCAGATGTGGCTGCTGCTACAAATGGAAGACTAGAGCATGATACTGCTGTGGTTTTTGGCACAAGAAAGGCCTGAAGTTGAGACACACAAGTAAAATCTGAACTAGGACATAAACTACTAGATGAAATCTGGTCTGGGTTCGTTTGCACTTTAACAATTCCAGTGTTTCCACCTCGTGTTGTGACCAGGATAGATTGTGATTCTCTTACACACACTGTCTTTAGCTCTTGCTTAGTTTCAAGGGAGTCAGTTTGCTGCTGTGATGCTAAACTGTGAGAGGCAGAAGGAGTGTTTGTAGATGCACTTAATGCTGTTGGTGTCAAGGATTGGCTAGCTGTGGAAAGAGTAGGTGAAGCCAAACACACAGGCAATGTAGTAGTCGAAACTGTAGTCTTGAATTTGTCACTTTCACTTTGGCTTACCTTAATTATTGATAAATTATCTGCTGAAGTTACACTAGACAATGGTTGTGTAGTGTTCACGGGACCAGTCACTTGTGATGAGTGGGTAGTATTCTTATTAAAAAATGTAGTGGGTGACTGGATGTCATTTGCAGGGCTTGTCACCAGAACAGGTGTTAAAGAAACACTGACATTTGGCATTTTTGGTAAAGATGTACAGTGCATCTCAAATGACTTTTCTTGTAGTGACTGAATATCCTTGGACACAATTTTTTCCTCCTTCTGCTGAAGAAGAAAATTCTTAGGTAAAATAAGAACTTGTTGCATGACTTTTTCTCCATTTTTAGGGTCAATCATAGCTTGCATTTGAATTTTCACTGAGCTGTTGGGAACATCTATTGGTACGCAGTGGCCATTTGGCATTTTGTATATCATTTGTAAAGGAGTCTTTGAACTGGCCTGGCAGGGCAATGCTGGTTTGATCAGAGATGATTCCAAAGCTGGTAAAGCTGACTTTTCCGAAGTAGATACGTTCATGCCTGCAGGAGGCAACAGTTGATTTGTTAAGGTCACTTTGTTCCCAGTATTCTTGGCAAGCAAGGCCTGGATAGGTTTGGTCCCTTTCAGAAAGTTTGATACTGATGTTGCAGGATCTGTCAAGGAAAGCAACTCTAGAGTTGACCCTTCAAATTGTTTCAGCTCAGTCAAGCAACTATCCAACTGCAGGCTACTTTCTGAACTCTGGACCACAGTCTCATTAGTGCTCAGTTTAACTTTCTTCCTTGGAGAAAGTTCATTAGTGCTTTGATCCAGACAACTATTTTGCTTGAACTGTCGTTTAATGCATTTAGGCAGTGTCTTCTGTATCTCTTTAGAAGCTGATTCTTTTTTCAGAATTCTGTTTTTTCCTGCAGGTAAATTCATCTCTAATAGTTTCATTTCATCTGCAAGGACATTAAAACAGAAACTGTGTTTTACATGTTTGCAACTGATACCCCTATAAAACAGTTTTACAGCGTCTCACTAAAGGCAATACACTAGTTTGCAAGAGTAAAGTTATGTGGAAGGAAATGTCTGATTTTTTTAAGGCATTTAAAAAATGCCTTTGCATTTTGTATAGCAAAGGTTCAAGGACCTTTGCTATACAAAAAGGGGGTAATAAGGAAAGGAGGAAGTAATAAACAAGAACACACATGAACAGAAACCTGACCAGCAATGGGGGACAGTGAGGAAAACCAAGCCTGGTCAGTTAGATTAATTGAATACAGTATGTGAAAGCTTGAAAATGTATATTTTGGCAAGGTTATCTTGAGGGCGAAAAAGGGAAAAGCCAGGAAAAAAATATACAGAGACACAAATCCAACCAAACCAAAATGGAGACAATGTTAAGAAACAACTTCACCAACCACACCAATGAATGGGCTATTAGGAAACTGTAGAGGCCTCTTGCAGGAAGATAATTTTCTGAACCTCATAAAATTATAAAACAGGGTAGATCCTGGAGACGGAGCCAGGATGGGTAAGGGAATTGGTACAGCTGTACAACCCATATAAGCAATGTGTACAGGTAAGGGGAGCTGCAAGGACAGCTGCAAGAGGTTACAGCCTGTGGACCTAGTGCCAGCTGCTGGGGGGTGAGTGTCTGTATCCTCCCCAAATCCAGTGAGTGTGTATTCACTGATAAACTTCAAACTAGACTAGCTGGTGAGTAGGAGGGCCTAACAGGTGGATGTGTGAGTGGGGGATGCCTGTGCGACAAAGATGTGAATGATGTGTTTCATACTGAGCATCAAGCTGGACTAGCCAGTGAGCAGGGGATGCAGGAAGTGGTAAGAGGGCTGAGGAGGGCCAGGTGGACAGAAGGGCCATGTGCTGAGGTTTTCATTGTATGGGGCTGCAGGGGGTCCTCTCTGACGGGGAGAGGCCAGGAACTGCCTTGTGCCAGACACAGCTGGCTCCAAAACAAATCCACTGAAGAACATGGCGGAGTCTGTCAGTCAAGCTGGTGATGTCTCATGGACAATGCTTTGCAGAAGCATGTGACAGAATGGACTGAGGAAAAAATGTAGAAACACAATTCTCTAGACACCAAGGTCAGCAAAGAAGGAGTGGTAAGAGATGCCTTCCAGGCACAGGAATGGATTCCCCTGTAACCCAGTAAGACCCCTAACCTGCTCCCATGGAGAACCATGCTGCAACAGGTATGTACACTGCAGATGCTAGAGGACCCCATTCTACTGCAGGTGAGTAGAATGCCTTGAAGGAAGCTGCAGCCCATGAAGAGCCCACACTGAAGCAGCTTCCTGACAAGAACTGCGGCAAATGGGAGATCCACACTAGTATAGTCTTATGCTGAAAAACTCTAGCCTATGGAGAGGACCCACAATGGTGCAGTTTGCAAAGCCCTGAATTCCTTAGGGGGGACCTCACACTGGAGCAGGGATGAAGAAGGAGCAGAAGGGACTGTTACGAACTGACCTCAATCCCCAGATTCCATCCTTCCTATGATATTTGACAAAGTATGAGGTGGAAGAATTGGGAATGAAGATAAGCCTTGGAAGAAAGTGGATAAGTGAAAGGGAGGGGTTTAGGTTTCGTATTTGTTTCTCACTATTCTACTTTGTTCTTAATTGACAACAAATTAAATTAATTCTCTTGAAGTGAGTCTATTTTGACTGTGACAGCAACTGGTGAGTGATCTCCCTTATCTCTATCTTGTCTGTTAAGCTTTTCCATATTGTTTTCTCTCCCTAGCCTCTTAAGAAAGGGGGAGTGACAGCAGTAGGGCAGGCATCTGGCAGCCAGCCAAGGTCAGAGTAAATTCCCACATAAAAGTAAATTCCACACAGATCTACTATGTTATCACAGATATAGTTAAGCACAAAAAATGGCAAACACTTCAATAAAGCACAATTTTCATCTTGGTCATATTTGCCCTCTTTAAGTCTACATCTGACAGATATGCACCATAAGCCATTTTCATATTATCAGTGGTAGAGTTAAGGTAAAAAGTAGGACTCAAAGTCACATGGAAAAATTAGGTTCCCAAATGAACTCGATTCAGCTCCTGAATCAAGTTCAAGCTACTCAATTCCAGTATATGCTTACCATTGTCAGAGAGATCTTTTTTGGGAACTTCTATATGTTCTGCAGACTCTGATGATTTACCGCATACTACCGCAAAAGATTCTTTGCCAGAATCAACTTCACTTTCATCATTACTCCACAATTCTCTGGAAAATTTATCATGGTCTGGATGTCTTTTAAAGTCATCATAGTCCTTCTTCAATCTAGACCTTAAAAATAACAAAACTAACTTTACTAAAAAAACCACACTTTGAAACATTTTTATTTGTATTTGCTGCCAAACAAAAAGTTGGTGTAGATTGCCTAATTACAGTGTAGCCCTGTCTGCAAGTCTCCAGAAAATGTGAAATGAGAGCAATGTCCCTTTACCAAAGCTGAATTCTATTTCATTAAGTCCTCTAACAATAGCAAAAAGATTTAGTCAAATGACTATCACTGCTTTACTGCATCCATTTGCCTTTCCCTCCTTCATCTTTCATGTGACAAATATACCTGTATGGACTTGAGTGTTAACTGTAAAGTTTGAAGGCAACCCCAAGGAAAGAATTAAGTAAATATAGTTTTTCTTAAAGACATCATGCCTCTGGCTCAGCTATGGGACTGCAACGTAACTTTCTCCTTAAGAACGCTTTCTTATCTCTGGCCCATTAGAACAGCTGTTGCTATCAGTTCCATAGGTTCACACTCCACTAAAGAATGTACGTATGACAGAAATACATAGGTACCTCATTCATTTGAACACCATTTATAAACACATCCACTTACCTTGATAATGCTAACCTGTACATGTTTTCATTGTCTCTTCTTCTAAACCATTGTTTACATAGGATGTAGTGGCTATTTTAGTGTACAAATACATTGAACTTCAGGACTCAGCTGGTGCTAACCAACACAATGCCCAGAAGGATTATTTAGGAAATGAATAAATAGATTATAGCAATTAACACCTTGTGTGGAATAGAATCTAGACTATTCTGGACCTAACCCTTTTGACAGTAACAGTAAGATCTTAAATTTACTCACTGTTCTGCATTAGTATAACAGTTTGCACTGAATGCAGCAATGCTCTCTATGAGATGTAGAGGGAGGAGCCATGAATGATGTCACAGCTGGTAGGGCATGAGCCTCACCAGTCAGCAAGCTATTCCACTCCCCCTGAATGTGGCCACAAGGCAGGTAGGCCTAGGGATAGTAATGGCCTCAAACAAGAGCCCAGATCCACAAGCAAGTTCCTGGTGCTGAGGCAGGTTTGAGATCAAACTGGAAAGTCAATTCAAAGTTTAAGATCAGGATCAGGTGCAGTGATTGCTGCCAGGATCAGGACCCAGCTGAGTGATTTCTGGACAGCTCCAGTGATGCAGGTAGAGGGCAGTCCAGATGAGTAGGCTCCACGGCCAGGAACAGTAACTGCTGGAGTAGAGCTGGAAACTGGCACACCCCCAGCAGAGACTGAAGACTGCAGAATGACCTGAAATGGGATCCTGGGCCCATGGACAGGTGGCATAGATAGAGAGCCAGGTGGGGGTTCTAAGGGTCAGTGAAATCTAGTAATTTACTCCCAGCTTTGACACTCTCACTGAGAGCAGACATTGAAGCCTGTATGAAGATGTAGGGTGGACAATACTTCAACTCTGTCATCAGGATTTTGAGCTTGAAGTCTAGGTGTGGAACAACTATAGGAGCACACTAGGGAACTACTACTGTTTGTGGATGTAATTTCCTTTTTCCTTTGAGGACCTTCTGCTGTAAGAGCAGTGAACAATTGTAATCAGTGGGCACAAGTAACTTTTTCTTTTAAACCTTGCTGCTATTCAAATACAATTCAACATTACACTCTGTCATAATCTTGAAAAGACCAGAAGACCTTTCAGAAGGGAAAGAAAAGGATTTTTATCATAAAGTTTGCTCCTACTAGTTAAAGACAATTACGGAGGAAGGAAGCAAAAGTCCAGACTCTTATTCAATACTGTGGCATCTGGAGGAAGAAGTGTTGCCCAGCCCTTCACAGCTTCGAAATCAAACACTATAATTCAACTAGTAGATGTTAGTACCTCGCCGAGACACCCTGTAGACAGAGCAGCTGCAGTGAGACTTATGGGGGATCTGATGTTTACACCATTGTAGCAAATTTTGCTCAACTGCTTTTTCCCTCCTACATGACACCTTTCTTCACCACCGTCACTGGGTGCTACACAACTGCCTAGCAGCTGCATAATGAATCAGACCAAGACAGTGACCTAGAATCCCCCATCCATCTTTCTTTTCTCCCCCTGATTTGTAAACATCATTCTTCAGATGCACCTGGTCCCTGATATGCTATGTGTATGTCCGAACAGTTATGTCACGGAAATACTTAGGCTTTTCTCATTGAATAAACTAGGGTTACAGACTAAAACATTCATACTAAAAACATGAGTTGAATTCAGTTAATTTCCGAAGTTATCTTGTACTCCAAGTGCATGCTTCTCTAGCTACCAGCACTCACGTACATAAGATCTCAACTACTCTGTTTCAGACTAAAATTTACTCCTATCAATCACAGCTCATATATAGCACTTAACACACTTTGTATGACTGCTCTGTGTTCTATAACCACATTGATGCAACACTGGCAACAAACAGAGGATGGAAGCCACTGTGCTCCTAGAAAGTTATGATCTTTATAAATAAGGGTGGAAACTGGTAACAATGAATGAGGAGAAGGCTGAGGCAATATCGCTTTGCTTCAGTCTTCAAGGGCAACATTTCTTCCCATATCTTCTGAGAGGATGGACAGCAGGATAAGGATTGGGAGAATAAAGTCCTTCCCACTCTTAAGTAAAGATCAGGTTCATCATCACCTGAAGTACGTCAATGTACTGAAGAGAGGGAATTGGCTGATGTATTTGCAAAGCCACTCTCCATGATATTTGAAAAATCTTGGCAGTCAGGTGAAGTCCCAGGTGGCAAGAAAAAGTAAAACATTGTACACATCTTAAAAAAAGGTTGAAAGGAGTACCCTGGGAGCTACTGACCTGTCAGCCTTACCTCTAGTGAGGAAGATCACAGAACAGACCCTTCTAGAACCTGTGCTAAGGCACAGGGAGGTGATTTGGTACAGCCAGTATAGCTGCACCAATGGCAAGTCCTGCCTGACAAATTTAGTGTTCTCCTAGGATGGACTGGGTTCATCAGTGTACAAGGGAATGGCTTCAGTTGTCATTTATCTGGATTTCTGTACAGCCTTTGACATGGTCCCCTACAAGATCCTTGTCTCTTAAATTGGAGAGATTGGGATTTGATAAGCGGACTGTTAGTGGATAAGAAATCGGTTGGATGGTGGCATCCAGAGCATAGTGGTCAATGGACATCAGTGACAAATGTTGTCCCTCAGAGGTCCATACTCAGACCAGAGTTATTTAGTATCATCACTAGTGACACAGACAGAGGGACTGAGGGCCCTCTCAGCAAATCTGCAGATCCACCAAGCTGAGTGGTGTAGCTGACATACTTAGAGGATGGGAAGCCACCCAGAGGGACCTGGGCAAGCCTGAAAAATGGGTCCATGGGAAAATGTCATGTGTTTTATTTAACAAGGCCAAGTGCAAGGTGCTGCATCCAGAGCAGGGTGGGCAGCAGGACCAGGGAGGGGATTCTTCCCCTCTGCTCTGCTGAGACCCCACCTGCAGGGCTGCAGCAGCTCTGGGGTCCCAGTACAGGAAGGACATGGACCTGTTGGAGTGAGTCCAGAGGAGGCCACCAAGCCGATCAGAGGGATGGAGCACCTCACCAGTGCAGAAAGACTGAGAGAGATTGGTCAGCCTGGAAAAGAGACAGCTTTGGGGAAACCTAATTGCAGCCTTCTAGTATGTGAAGGAAGCCTTCAGAAAAGGAAGGGAGAGAGACTTGTTCAAGAACTTATAGTGAGAAGAGGGGCAATGGCTTCAAATTCAAAGAGAGTAGGTTTGGATTAGAAATTGGGAAGAAATTCTGAATGGTGAGGCACTGGAACATGTTGTCCAGAAAAGTTGTTGAAGCCTCATCCCTGGAAGGCCAGATTAGTTGGGGTTTTGTGGAACTTCATTTACAAAAGGTACCCTCACCCAGGGGGATTGGAACTGGATGACCTTTAAGGTCCCTTCTAGTCCAAACCATTCTATGATTCTGTAATTTGACAGACAAGAATACTGAACACCAAACCATTCCACAAAAGAATTTACAAAAAGGGTATAATGGTAAACTTCACATACTGCAAAACTAAATTCTTACTGACAGTAATACTATCTGCCATGTCTCCAGAAGGATTCTAAATTGTGAAAGACAGGAAGAAATTAACAGTTAGACAAAATGAACAGAAAATAGAAGAGAAAGGAATAGGAAAAACCCAAAACTTGTATTTGGGTCCATTACTGAAAATAAAATATTTAACAATATCCCAAATTTCCAAATAAGAATTTTAATTCATAGAAGATATTCAAAAATGAGCTACTGAAGAAGCAATGTAATATCTTTGGTGTTAGGTTTTTGTGTTTTTTTAAACATAACACCTTTTACACTTTCCAGCATAAACTCTGCATCACAATACAGCGTAACTTGCTTCCTTCACACTCAACATTTAAGAAGCCTCTTTTCCTATCCTTTGTCACAGAGTTCAAGCCTCTAATCATTCCTTGCTTTTTAATTGTCTACATGACAAAACTAAGGTACAATTATAGCAACAGCTGTATGGTTAAGAGGTAAGAATGGCACCGAGCTTCAAGACAGTATCTAATCTCTCCATGATTTATAATCAAAGTAGTACCTTCACTGCTACTAGTGCTTGCACTTTACTAGATTTAAACCTGTCACTACTTCACTCATATTCCTCTGACATACTTCTTTCCAGATGCATTTCTGATTTACTGCGTTACAACAACCTCAAAACAATGCTTCAAGAATTGCTCTGTGGAGAATTCATTAATAGTTAATTTAGGTAGTCAGAGTATTCTAAGAAGCCCAATATAAGTTCTCTAGAGAAAGGTTTTCAGCATTTCTTAACCAAATAAGCAGAAACAGAAATCCTAGCTGTCTTTCAATATACTATTGATCAGCATGCTTAAGGATTCTAGAGTGTTTTAGAGGAAAAAAAACACTACCGGGTTAAGCTCAAATTTTTTTGGAGACAGTAAATCTGGAATATAAGATACTTCTTCCAACTAAAGTATTGCCAGGCCTCACTCCTCTCCTCAAAGTATTTTAATTTTATTTATTTAAGAAGCTAACTTATTGATCAGTATTTAGAAGGTAGAATTCGTTCTGTTTTTCATCCCATGCACCACTGTTGAAAAAAAAAGAGCAGGTAATTACCTGTTTCTTTGAAATGCTTTAATTAGCTTTGGTTCCCATGGTAACAGTTCATTAAGCAGTCGTAACAACGTACCATGCAATTCCTTTACTGCTTGCTTCCGGTGGAACCATCTTCCCTGAAAACATAAATTCCATTTATTTATCATTGCATTACACCTAAATTTTGTTATATTGTACTAGTACTACAATAATACTGGTATATGGATATAGCATATGAGGAAAACAACTGGAAGAAAAGATTAGAAACTTCCAGAGTTATATCTACCCTTCCAGAGTTACATCTATCTAGGACATTATTACTATTATTTTAATACTACAGAGAGATAATGTCCTAGTTGGAAAAGTCATACTGCAAGGATGCTCACTTTTTACAGATCAAAATTAAAATTGAAACAGGATTCTACAAATACACCATGTGCTTAAAATTACTTAAATGAGTAATTAACATGGGTAGTAATCCACTCAGTTCAGGGAAATCAACCATCAAGATTTTCAAGGATAAAAATCCCAACGTTTTTCTGCTAGATTTTATTTAAAGTTCTAGAAAAAAGCTTTTTTTAAAAGAGAAGTTTAGCAAATTTGCTTTATGAAGCAAAGCTTTATTCAGCAAAGCCCAATTTTCCAACACAAAATCCTTTAAGCTTTTAATTCAAACATATAAATAAAAGTTTTATTTTTCAAAACTGATATATGTAATCTTATATTCATGTTTTCATAAATCTAGAAAGTCTGAATAAGGAGAGAAGACATTGGGAAATGACAACCATGCTGGCCATGGTGCTGCAGAACACACCTCTTAACACTCACCAATACCCCTTGTACATATTTCTTCCCAAAACTTTATTCTGTAGTTCATTGCATAAAAGACTGAACAATGCATATATATGTAACTGTTATAAAAGAGACGTGGCATAGTACTGCCACTCTACTAACTCTGTGCATTTTGTATAAATGAAGATTTTAGCTCTTGGCTGCTCACAGAAGATGTAAAACAATAAAGATACTATAGTTCTGCAAGAAAAAGAAGCAAGACTTGAGAACTTACTTATTTCACATACATATTTAGCTTTTGATAGTGAACATATCCTTCCCAGCTTGTGGTCTAGCACACCAAGAAAGGCAAGACAGGAAAATCTGGATAAAGCTTGTCACAGCTGCGTTTCAGCAGTCTACAAGCATGATCTTCCTAAGGCCTTTGGACAATTTCTCTCTACAATTTCAGGAGATCTCTCTAATGTACAGTAAGATCACTCAGCTTGCATGCTTGTTTGAAGACAAGGTATCTATTTTTTTTATGGATAATCATTTACATGTTACATAACAAAACAAACAGTTATCTTCACTCTTCAATTACAATGGCAAAGATTTTGTAGGATCATTATGCAACATTACTACATAATGACCGGTGTTGAACACACAGACAGCCAGTAAACTGAATAATTTCCTTCACTTGTGGCCAGTCACATGCATAAAACCTGTCACTAATCACTACAATAAAAAACAGACCTTGTGCATACTGTAGTCTACCAGAACATTTGGTATCATCTCTTAAAGTCAGCAATCAACAGAATTAATTGTTAACATACAAAAGAAGATTGCATGCACAGATTTGTTTTTCTTGTAAGGTAAACAAAACATTTTGCAGAATGTTTTAAAATAATGTATTTATATACTACAGAGCATTAGTGCATTGTCTCAAAACAAAAATCAAATAGCAAAAATAAACAATGCTACTATTATAGTGAAATAGAAATGCAGAATTACTGTACATGCAGTTGATATAGCAAAGAAAATGTGTGAAAATGTAACATTAAAAAGATATGAAAAATCACTGCAAAGTAAAAACCCCAAGAAATTATTAATTTCTGAGCCTAATTTGCTTTAAATAAGGCTAAGATCTTGCCTTAAGCAGGAGAAAAAGAATATTTATGAGAAAGATAAGTATCAGTTGATCACTAAATAAATTTGAAGCAATAACTGCTAGGCAGCCAGCACATGCACAATGTTTAATCAAGAACAGACTTCAACACTTTACTGACTTCATTAATACTTCACAGAAAAACAAATATATTACTTTTCTCTCTGCTTACAAAAACAAACAACATCAGCCAATTCCTGCCCCCTAATTCTACAGGATTAGCAGCTCTAGTTGGAGACCCGTCTCTAGTGGTGTCCCCAAGGGTTCACTACTGGTTCAGTATGGTTTAACTTGTTTATCAGTGACTTGGATGAAGGGGAAGATGCCTCCTCAGTGAGTTCACCAATGACACAAAGCTGTGAGCAGTGGCCAATACCCCAGGGAGCTGTGCTATCCTTCAGAATGACCTCAACAGGGTGGAGAAACAGGCAAAGAGGAACGATATTTCCAAGTAATTTCATTGTTTAAAAAACAGAGATTAATTATTTCCCTTTGTCCCAATTACTTATTTTTCTCAGTGAGGTTTTAGAATTGACAATAAACCTGTTAATGGACACATGAACAAATTTTAGTCATGAGAAGATTTTTTTTTCCTCAGAAGTAGTCACAACATCAGAGTATGGACAAAGAAGGCTGGAACAAAAAAAAAACCAAAACCCTTCTCTTTTAAATTATTGTGGTTTAGTTGATTTTCTGTGCAAACACATAAATGCTAGATGTTATTATACCTTAAATATTAAACAGTAAAAAGAGACATTAAAAACATTTATATAATCTTAAGATCCATCACAACAAAATTTAACATTTCTTTTTGTGTGCAATTTGATTCTCTAACACAGTTTGTCTTTTATTCAGAGGGGAAAGGCAAACCAATAACTGATAAAGCTATGACTTAACTCCCTATTACATAGCTGCCCACTAATTTCTATAGATAATACACTTGTTTTCACAAATATGTGTGTTCTAAATTCTCAAATATACCATATTATATATTATGAGAGTTTAGCTACAAACTGAGGCTTAGGAGGTTCAGGCTGGACCTCCAAAGGCATGTTCATCAGAAACATACAGCACTTGTTCCCTGGGAAAAGACGCCAACCCCCACCCGGCTACACACTCCTTTCAGGCATCTGCGGTCCCTCCTGAGCCTCCTTTTCTTCAGGCTCAACGCCCCCAGCTCCCTCAACTGCTTCTTATAAGATTTATGTTTCAGACATTTCACCAGCTCCACTGCCTTCTGTGGTCTCACTTCAGCACCAAAATGTCCTTCTTGTAGTGAGAGGCCCAGAACTGAACACAGAACTTGAGGTGCACCATTGGCCTTCTTGGCCACCTGGGCCCTGCTGGCTCATGTTCAGCTGCTGTCAGCAGCACCCCCAGCTCCTTTTCCTGTGGGCAGCTTTGCAGCCACTCTGCCCCAGCCTGTGGCACTGCCTGGGGTTGCTGTGACCCCAGGGCAGGAGCCAGCACTGGCCTTGTTGAACCTCACACCCCTGGCCTTGGCCCATGGATCCAGCCTGTCCAGATCCCTCTGCAGAGCCTTCCTGATCTCCAGCAGATCAGCACTCCCATCCAGCTTTGTGCTGTTTGTGAGCTGACTGAGGGTGCCCTTGATCCCTTTGTCCAGATCATGAAAATGATATTAAATAGAATTTAGCCACCATCTTCTTCCAATTACTGACAAACAAGACACTATTTTTTTTTTCTGGAAACAAAATATAAGGTATTAACACAGGAAAATAACAGAAGAATAAAAGGACTAGACAGAGAAGTACAAAATGTGACTTTAGGCTATGCCAAGTTACAAGTAAATTTCAAAAATGCAAACACAATAACAATACATTTTACAAATGGGCTGAATGTTTCCGTTTAAATGCAGAGAGACATTCAACGCATTCAACTGAAAACTTACCTTTTAAAATAAGGTTTCTGACATCCAGAGCAGCCAGGAAATGCTGACTCCACTCTCTGTGATTGATGTCCCAACATACACTACTCTGGCATACTTATAATGGAACCCCAAAGCAGACTGGAGCCAGGATATTGATACATGGGGTAAGGACTGAATTTTTATATGAGTTTTTGTTTTGCTTTTAAATAAACACACACGCACAACACCACAATATTATGCAGTTTTATAAGACTGTCTGTTATCTTTACATTATATCCCAGGGACATAAAGTAAAGAAAATTACCAATCTTATAAAACCATGCAATATTGTTGAAAAGGGGTGGTGGTGGAGGGAGAAAACTTACCCTTAATAGGCCTGCTCCATTTTGCTGCGGGGTTCTGTGGTATGTGTAACATCACCAGTCTAGTGTTTTTTAGTGATGTCACACAGAGAGGGAGTTGGTGATCTCCAGCTGCTTTGGACAACAGATACCTAAAGAAAAGAGACCAGTAACTTTTTCAAATCATATATGGATTAATGTTGAACGTTCTTAATTTATGGGCCAAATACTACAATTTCAGGCACTTCCAATTTTGATTGAATAAGAATGCATTACAAAATCATGTATTCCTACTATGCAAACTCATTATTGAAAGTGTTTTAATTTTGAAAATGCTTAGAGTTATCTTCTACAGTAGAAGCTCCTGAGTCAGTATCTTACATTTTACTTTCAGCAACATCATTCACTATAAACATATAAACATTATGAATGAACATTATAAATATATATCAATAGCTAACCAATCTCTGACATTCTTTGAAGACTGGGATTAAGCAGAGTCAGGAAGAATGACTTGTAGTAAATTATAAAACAAATTCACTTATAACATACCTAAATCAATTTTACCTTTGAGCATTTACCAGCAACTAATGAGAAGTCCTGACTCCAGCATGCACTTCCATGACCTATATATCTGATCATACCAATTATATCCAAAAATGATCTCATACTCTCTTCTTTCTACTATAAGCAAATGAAGTAGAACAAACAAAAAACAACAGCACCAAAACAAAGTGTAAAAAATTTCTTGCTACCAAGACTGTCTTTGTCTCCTGATTTAGTTCATTACCATGAAACGGTTTTTATTCAGATGTTTAGCTACGTTCTATTATTCTTTTGGCAAAATTACTACACAATCATCACAATGTTGATCAATATACCACATTTTGTAGAAAAAATATAAATACACATAAAATCTATAAACCACAAAAACACAAGAGAAAGTTTATTATTAGCATGTGCTTA